CTCTCTTAACGCCCTTGTGTGGGTAACATCAGGGACTGTCGATTTGTAGAAGCTTCTCAAATAGTTCACGTACCAACTCTTCCTTCATTGATGGTGGGTCTGTGTTTGCATCAACCTGGGTTTTTGTTCTCAGGGCCTGGGGTCCAACAGTGCTGGTAAAGGCAGAGGTGAAGAAAGTGTTGAGACCCTCTGCCTTTTCAGTGTTGTTGGTGACTAACTCACCTCTCCTGTTTAACAGCAGGCTAGTATTTTCCTTCTGCTTCTGCTTGTTGTTTACACACCTGAAGAACCTTTTCTTGTAGTTTTTGACATCTCTGGCCAATTTCAATTCGAGCTGAACTTTTGCTTTTGTAGTAATGCCTTATTAGTTCTCAATGGATACTCATCTGCTTTTCTATCTCTGATACTCTTCTCTTTCGGGTTTGAGCAGACTCAGAAGCTCACAGTTAAGCCAAGGGGGTCTCTTGCTGCACCTACTTCTCTCCCTTTTAAAAGGGATGAATTAGTTTTGTGCTTCCAGAAGAGCGTTCTTGAAAAACTGCCAGCACTCGCTCGCTCCTTTATCCTCCATGGAAGCTTTCCATGCAATCCCTCCTACTGAGCTCTGAGTGAGCAGAAGTTTGCTTTTTCGAAATCTAAAACCTTTGTCATAGTACTAACCTTCAGCGTGCTCAGCAGGATCCCAAACTCCACAATACTGTGATCACTGCAGCCAGGGCTATCACTAACCGAGATACTACAAGGCAGGTTTTCTTGGTTTGCGAGTAGCAATCCAGCAGTGCCTAATTCCTGATCGGCACATAAAATATTTGTATGAGGAAGCAGTCTTCTACACATTCTAGGAACTTGGTGGATGAAACGTGAGCTGCTGTATTGTTCTTCCAATAAATGTCTGGGTAGTTGAAGTCACCCCTAAGAACCACGTTCTGTTGACTCGAAGTTTGCTTAAGTGACCCAAATATTGCTTTGTTGGCCTTATTGTCTTGATTTGGAAGTCAGTAGCATTCCCACTGGCATTCGATAGGGCTTCCACAATTGCTGGAGTTGACTTCTATACTTTCAACGTTCTCCTTAACATAGAGCACAACTTCTCCTCCTCTTCTTCCCCGTCTGCCTTTATGAAATAATCTATAGCCATCCTTTGTGATCCTCCAGTTATGTGAGTTGTTGTGAACACCCACCAGATTTTAGTTATTCCTATGATATCATAACTTTATGACTGAGTGCAGAGCTCCAGTTCCTCCTGTTTATTCCACAGGCTCCATGTATTGGTATGCATGCACTTGAGGCAGTTGATCTTCTAGTTCTCATCTTGGAAGGCAGCTAAGGAACATTTGTCTCTGCTCTACTTCGCCCAGTTTATTCCCCAGTTGGATGCAGTCATGTGAGAACCGCCATTTTGGGTGCTGTCCCCTGAGTTCTTCAGTTTAAAGTCCACCTCACCAAGCTGGCCAGCCTGCTGCCAAAGGTTCTCTTGCCTCTTCTAGACAGGTGGATCCCATCCCTCACTAACAGGCTATAGTCACAGAATGTCCTGTTGTTGAAGAATCCTGAAGTATTTTATGATCAAAACAAAGAGAAATCCCTAAAGACTTTTTGTTGTTGTTGTTGATAATGTGTTCTCTTTGGAAGTCTTAAGACTGTTGTAATTAATGATTATAAGCAACAATCTTTATATAGTAAATAATAAATTAATATACCATTGTATTTAATACAGTGGCATTAGTAGACATAGCACCTCAGAAGCTTGTAGGAAATAATGAAGTTGTCCTGTCACAGCCTGCCTGGGGGACACAGGAGCTTTTCTTCTTGCTCTATTTCCACTAGCCACGCCAGCTGCTATCTGCAGCCATGACTTCTAGGCCTCCTTGCTCTTAGCAGAGGAGCCATTTTGCAGAACACATTCTGTTCTTCATCCTGTGCCAATTAAATCTCCACAGACAGGCAATTTCATCCAGACTCAAGGGGCTGGAGGGAGAGAAGATGTACACACATGCAAAGGAGTCATTTCCCCTTTTCTCAGTTGCGGTTGTCAGGAGGGATGAAAACTTCTTAGCCTCCCCACACCACCTCAGTCCCGTTTCACCTCTGCTTCATGGCCTGATTCTCACCTACAGTATGATCATGTAATCCATGGACTTGGACTACACGCCCAAGTTGCTTTAAACTAGCTCTGCTCTGGTAGCAAGGTTATCACAGTGGTATGGATTATCACACACACTATTTCAAAAAGTATTTACCCAATTTCTCAAACTACTTTTGTAACAACTTAACACAAAACTGGCTTAAATGAGTGTGCCTTATTTGTTCTTAATCAGTGAATATTTATTTTCCGTGTCAGAATCAATAGGTGATCAATCTCCTACAATGCACTTTCAGCTCCAGTGATGCTGCTACCTATCAATTACAGTGAGATTTCCACCTACAAAGTTCTTTTCAAGCATTAATATAGAATCATAGAATCATAGAATGGTTTGGGTTGGAAGGGACCTCAAAGATTATCTAGTCCCAACCCCCCCGCCATGGGCAGGGAAACCCTCCCCTACACCAGGTTGCTCAAAGCCTCATCCAACCTGGCCTTGAACATTTCCAGGAATGGGGCAGTCACAGCTTCTCTGGGCAACCTGGTCCAGTGCCTCGCCACCCTCAATATAAAAAATTTCTTCCTTAGATCTAATCCAAACCTATATTCTTTCAGTTTAAAGCCATTGCCTCTTGTCCTATCACTACATGTCCTTGTAAAAAGTCCCTCTCCAGCTTTCCTGTAGGCCCCTTTAAGTATTGGAAGGCTGCTATAAGATCACCCCAGAGCCTTCTCTTCTCCAGGCTGAACAGCCCCAGCTCTCTCAGCCTGCCTTCATAGCAGAGGTGCTCCAACCCTTGGATCATCATGTCCTTGTGTTGGGGACTCCAGAGCTGAATGCAATACTCCAGGTGGGGTCTCACAAGAGCAGAGCAGAGCAGAGCAGAGAGACAGAAGGCCCTCCCTCGACCTGCTGGCCACACTCCCTTTGATGCAGCCCAGGATACGGTTGGCTTTCTGGGCTGCGAGCGCACATTGCCGGCTTATGTTGAGCTTTTCATCCACCAGCACTCCCAAGTCCTTTTCCTCAGGGCTGCTCTCAATCCATTCTCTGCCCAGCCGGTACTCGTGCTTGGGATTGCCACAACCCACGTGCAAGACCTTGCACTTGGCCTTGTTGAACTTTATGAGGTTCTCACAGGCCCACCTCTCCAGCCTGTCAAGGTCCTTCTGGATGGCATCCCTTCCCACCATTGTGTCCACAACACCACACAACTTGGTGTCATCTGCAAACTTGCTGAGGGCGCACTCGATCCCACTGTCAATGTCACCGACAAAGATGTTAAACAGCACTGGCCCCAGTACTGAGCCCTGAGGAACACCACTTGTCACTGGTCTCCATTTGGACATTGAACCGTTGACCGCAACTTTTTGAATGTGACCTTCCAGCCAATTCCTTATCCACTGAGTGGATCGTCCATCAAATCCATGTCTTTCCAATTCAGAGACAAGGATGTCATGCGGGACGGTGTCAAATATTTGTGTGTTACTGCCAGCAATACAGACAATTTAATAAAGTCAGGTTTGCATTATCCTCATAAGCAATTGTTGTAATGCTTTCGTGAAATGTGTCATCCTATTTAGTTCTGCTTGGCCCAGACTCAAAATCCTGATCATCCAATCAAGCTATTATTTATGTCTTTATTTTTCATGGATGCTGGCCATATCTGATGCTATATTTGATTTTTAATGTGAACCTTCTCTGTGTACCCAAAATCTCCTAATATTCAAAATGATATACCTTTGTATAGCCTGCTATCACATAAAGCATACATACACCTACCAATATACACTCTAAGGAATATCTCCCACCTGGATATCACTAACTGTTTTAAATAGTCCAAAGTTATAAATCCATGTATTTCAAATCTGCTGCACTACTGGAAGAGAGTAAATGCACCCATGTACAGCTAAGAATAAAGACAATATATATACAGTACATCTTGAAGACTTGACAGGTCCAGGTCTATTTAAATAAACCACAGGTACCTCATGACAGCTACTTTCTGTCATGGAGGGTATGGATGCGAATCCCTGCAGACAAAGATCTGCTATTTTTAGTGTCAAGATTGTGGAAGCTGCCCAAGGCCAGGAAGAAACAGATTGTGCAAAACCTTTTGCGAGAGGAGAGGTTGGAGAAGTCTCCTTAAACTTGACACAACTCTAGGTAAAGTTAAGCCAGCCCGTCAATTGTCTGCCTGCAGGACCCAAACAGGCAAGCGGTCTGAGGTTTTTCCTTTGGTTTTACAGCTGCTTTGCTCTTCCCGGTCAATAAGCCTGTGGCACGAAGAGGCTGTAAGCCCTTGCAGTCTGAGAAAGAGCATGTGTGAGGCAGCGTGTGCCTCTGGATTGAAAGGTCATAGAGTCTGGGATTACCAGTTATCCAAAATTCTTTTTATTTATACTGCTAGTGTTGCTCTGGGCAACATACTGCACTACAATTACCCACACTTGTGCATCGGTTTTGCTTTTGTCATGGATTCCTCCAAACCCGTTAGACAACACCTGGACAAGACTGAAGTGCCCTGACCTGGGTTCCTCACCCGCGATAACGACGTCGACCTGGCTGCTCTGACCTGCTGCCTTACCCAGCAGCAGCTTTACTCACCAACATCACCTCTGCTCACTTCATGCCAGTTGAGAGGTGTCTCGGGGGGAGTGACACAGACCTCCTGAGCCCATACAGCTGAGTATCTGGTACTGCAACCTGGGGAGCCATCTCAGGCTCTCCTCTGCGTGTTCTGCTCTTGTACTTCAGGAGTCATTTCAGTAACACCTAGATCCAAGCATCCCTGGCCCCGAATGTCTCCGATTCATGGGGAGCTTGAAGATCAGTTTCTCAACTTTGTCAGCGATCACATCTCTCTTAAATCTGGAAAAAATATGTGTGCCTGGTGATAAGATATAAGGAGCCTACCTTGGGGGACAGGGGTCCAGGCTACAGGCTTTCAGCAGCTGTGGGGGACGGCGGCTGGTAACACACAGCATCTCGTCGGCGGTCTCCCTGGTTTGTTTGTTCAAGCAGGTCACTACGGCCTCCTGGACACCTGCGCACAACAAGACGTGGTCACAGCCAGCTCTCTGCAGCTGAAGGGGCAGCCGAGGGCTGCTGCATGTGGGGAAGTGAAGCTGTGCAGCCTGGGTTGGGAGCTCGGGAGCTGCAGCCCCGGTGGCAGGGAGAGAGAAGGCGGCTCTGCGCGGCGGGGAGGTGTTTGCTGTCCACATCCTGGGCAGGACTGATGGCCTTTGAGGAGTGCGGCATGAATTCCTACCAAAGGGGGATGTTTCTTGGCACAGTGTACGTGACTGAGTAGGGAAAACCACTGTTCCTTTTATCTCTTCTGTTGGGAAAAACCTTCAGCCATAACTCCTGCGATTTTCCAAACGCAGTCATACACTGCTTACCATACCTTTTTGTCCTGTTCCCCAGCCAGCTGGGAGATGACCAGATCGAAACGCGGGGTGGGATGCTGGTCTTTTACTTGCCCTTGCTTTCAGTCTTGCTATGTGTCTCGACAGCAGTGAAAAGTCCCTAGGTTCTTTCACCACTTACCTGCCCTGAACAGAAAATCTTCCAGTGCTCCCAGTGACTCATCCTTTCACTATAAGTGTGGTGAGGCTTTTTATTTGTTAGTCAAGCAGGCTAAGGCGTGAAGATGGCCTGGACCTCGGTACGCTGTATTTTAAGCAACAGCTTGATTGCTATACTTGCAAAAGTAAATTAAAACAAGGTCAGACAGCTCAGCTGCTCTCGGTCACTCTTCTGCAGCTGCAGACCTGCACCTACACTGAAGGTGCAAACCTGCAGGGTGTATCTGAGAGCTGGGACAGGACAAGGGGAGCTGTTGGGACTATGAGAGAAGACGGAAGACCTGGAAATTATGTTTTATCTCAGGAAATCCTTGGTGATACCAAATTCCTTATATACTCTTTGGCATACCAGGTGCTCTGTCTCACTTTTCATATGAGTGAGGTAGAATATTGCAGTTTTGTCGGCTCACAAGTTAGAAAGCTAGAATATCAGAGACTGCAACACTACATGCCATAGGAAATTGTATGTATTGAGAGAGGACCTACTTCTTCCCCAGGGGATCTGAGGATAACGATTGGCCTGAACTTCCTAAAACTCTAATCCACAGTGGTTCAAGCAAAGTGGAAGTATGTTTTTTACATTATTCATCCCTACTTCCTGTCTTAGGACAAGATTAGCTGAACTCATAACAATTGAATCGTTTTCTCAAAACCGACAATTAGTTTTCCAAAACATCTCACAACATTTTGAAAATACCATTGTTTTCTTACAAAAAATACTATTGGAAGAGCTAGAACAGCTCCAAGAGCAGTGTAATAGAACTGACAATACTTTTTGTTGTTTCTAATGCCAGAGCACGTCAGGCATACAATGACATCACATTATTCAACAGAACCTAAGTGCTGCAACTCATCGCAGTTCCTGTACTCCTGAAATTATTCATGGATTCTCAGTATACAAGCTGAGGAGAGGCCCATAGCAAAGTGGCATACTGAGTAATTTATTGGATTTTATGTGTGCAAGCCTATTCAGGGCATGCTTATGACTCAAGGATAGAGAATCATAGAATCATAGAATCATAGAATCATAGAATCATAGAATGGTTTCTGTTGGAAGGGACCTCAAAGACCATCTAGTTTCAAACCCCCTGCCATGGGCAGGGAAACCCTCCACTACATCAGGTTGTTCAAAGCCCCATCCAACCTGGCCTTGAACACTTCCAGGGATGGGGCATCTACAACTTCTCTGGGCAACCTGTTCCAGTACCTCACCACCCTCTGAGTGAAAAATTTCTTCCTTATATCTAATCTAAATCTCCCTTCTTTCAGTTTAAAGGCATTGCCCCTTGTCCTGTCACTACATACCCTCGTAAAAAGTTCCTCTCCAGCTTTCCTGTAGGCCCCCTTTAAGTACACTGGAAGGCTGCTATAAGATCACCCCGGAGCCTTCTCTTCTCCAGGCTGAACAGCCCCAACTCTCTCAGCCTGCCTTCATAGCAGAGGTGCTCCAGCCCTCGGATCATCTTCCCCAGCTCCAACAGCTCCATGTCCTTCTTGTGTTGGGGACTCCAGAGCTGGATGCAATATTCCAGGTGGGGTCTCACAAGAGCAGAGCAGAGGGGCAGAATCACCTCCCTCAACCTGCTGGCCACACTTCTTTTGATGCAGCCCAGGATACGCTTGGCTTTCTGGGCTGCCAGTGCACATTGCCGGCTCATGTTGAGCTTGAGTGCGACCATCCAGCCAATCTGTTATCTACTGAGTGGTCCATCCATCAAAACCACGTCTTTCCAGTTTAGAGACAAGGATGTTGTGTGGGACAGTATCAAATGCTTTGGACGAATACAGGTAGATGATGTCAGTTGCTCTTCCTTTATCCGTCAATGCTGTAACCTCAACATAGAAGGCCACCAAATTAGTCAGGCAGGATTCGTGCTTATTAAAGCCATGTTGGCTGTCACCAGTCATCTCCTCATTTTCTATGTGCCTTAGCATAGTCGCCAGGAGGATCTGCTCCATGATCTTGCCAGGCACAGGGGTGAGACTGACTGGCCTATAGTTCCCTGGGTGCGGAGAAGGGATTTGGAGAAGTACTGAGACGACTCAATATGAGTTAGCTGCAGGAAGTCTCCGTTTTCCAGTCAGTGGGAACTTCACCAGATTGCCACGACTTCTGAAATATGATGGATAATGGTTTAGCAACTTCATGCTCCAGTTCCCTCAGGACCAACGGATGCACATCACCAAGTCCCACGGTCTTGTCCACCTTCAGGTTCTTTAGATGGTCTCGAACCTGGTCTTCTCCTACAGTGGGCAGTTCTTCATTCTCCCAGTCCCTGCCTTTGCCTTCTGTGACTTGGGCTGTGCAGCTGGAGCTCTTGCCAGTGAAGCCTGAGGCAAAGAAATCATTGAGAACCTCAGCCTTCTCCATATCCTGGGTAGCCAGGTCCCCTGTTTCCTTCCGGAGAGGGCCTACATTTTCCCTAGATCCCTTTTTATCACTGACGTATCTATAGAAGTTTTTCTTGTTGCCCTTGATGTCCCTGGCCAGATTTAACTCTATCAGGGCTTTAGCTTTCCTAACCTGATCTCTGGTTGCTCGCACAATTTCTCTGTATTCTTCCCAGGCTACCTGTCCTTGCTTCCACTCTCTGTAGGCTACCCTTTTGTGTTTCAGTTTTTCCAGGAGCTTCTTGTTCATCCATGCAGACCTCCTGGTGTTTCTGTCTGACTTCCTCTTCGCTGGGGTGCACCGTTCCTGAGCTTGGAGGAGGTGATCCTTCAATAATACCCAGCTTTCTTGTGCCCCTCTTCCCTCCAGGGCTTCGTCCCATTGTACTCTACCAAGTAGATCCCTGAAGAGGCCGACGTCTGCTCTCCTGAAATCCAGGGTAGTGAGCTTGCTGTGCACTCTCCTTGCTTCCCTAAGAATCTTGAACTCCACCATTTCATGATCACTGCAGCCAAGGCTCTCCTTGAGCGTCACGTTCCCCACCAGCTCTTTTTTGTTGGTGAGAACAACGTCCAGCAAAGGACCTCTCCTCATTGGTTCCTCTACTACTTGGAGAAGGAAGTTATCATCCATGCATTCCAGGAACTTCCTGGATTGCCTATGCCCTGCTGTGTTGCCCCTCCAACAGATGTCAAGGTAGTTGAAGTCCCCCATGAGGACCAGGGCTCGTGAACGTGAGGCTGCTTCTATCTGGCTGTAGAGGGCCTCATCCTCTCAGTCCTCCTGGTCAGGTGGCCTGTAGCAGATCCTCATTACTATGTCCTCAGTCCCTGCTCCCCCTTTAATTCTGACCCATAAGCTCTCAGTTGGCACCTCATGTCTCCACTGTACTCAAGGTGCTGAAACGAAGAAAGAAATTTGACCATTTTGGACATGGATATCAACATCAAAATTGCCAAAGTCCCTGAAGTCAGCCAACATTGTTGTGGGTTTCCTTCTTTACAAAGTGACCCCATATTTTCAAGCCATTTTGCTATTGAAGTAATCTCACAGAAGACTTAAAAAAATTGTAAAAAGGATAGCTCATTGAAAAAAATGAAAAAAAAGATAGTGTTTATTTCTAGGAAAGGAAACCAATGGAATTTCTATACATAAACAATATCTTCTCTACTTTGTTAGTTCATTATCTTTCCAGCTCAATCATTTCTCTGTTGAGCACGTTATCATATTGTGTACAGTAAACAGAGATACATGGATTCCCCAGGACAGGCTGCTCGTGGCTATAGAACAGAGGTGGTTTTCTTCTTGATGGGAAATGGCACTGCGTTCAAGTTACTGGTCTCTACTTTGCATTGATCACTTACTTGTGCAGGCCCAACAGCAAGACCATCTGATGAAGCCATGAAAGAAGGACTGCTAATCCAGACATACTGAAACCAGGAAAGTACTCTTCTTAACTGTGGAAAGAAGCTACTGGGTCCTGTCACATGCTGGTGACATCATTCTCTTTGTTAGGGAAACACTCACCATCTGTATGTGCTGGATGCTCTTCTTTTCATATCAAAATTTTGTACATTCAGTGTACTTCCGTAGCTTCAATTTCTCCTCTCTCGAGTGTGTCACTAATGAGCTCTTCAATTACCTCAAGACTTTGGCATTGTCTGTTTCAGTGCTGACTACCCAAAACTGATTAACTGCGAGTTCTTGAATTCAACCTTTTCTCCATTTCTCAGAATGATGGTTTTGTTCTTTATTAAATTCTTATAGTCAAGCTCTGATACTACTGCTCTTCACTTTTCAGTATTCAACTTGTCCCTACCTCCCAGTGAGTTCATTCTCCATACTTACTCCTGTCAAATAAGTCATGTCTGACAGTATTTCCAACAATTTTAGTCTATCCTACTAGCATTCTAGTCTGCTCGTTATAATCTCCTTTCACAGATTCTTACAGCTTTTTACGTTTTAAAGGTACTGGTAGGAGCAGTAATATAGACTGATAGTAAGAATATTGAAGAAAAAGGCTCTTGCGTGAATTTAACAAGTCCGTGGTTGCTAGACTACGTATTGACAGAAGTTTCTGGCTCTAATAGCTTGTGCCAGTGACTGAGAAAAAAAAAAATAACCTGGCTTGCTCAGCAGCAAACAAATGTGCTCAGAATCACTTTCTTCAGCTTCTCTTTGAATCTCACGCTGAGTGTGTCTCAGCACACTGATAACATCTGTCCTTCTGTTTTTGATAGGTCAATGTGGCAAATGGTTATAAGCTCTAAATCAAGGATAAATCATTGAATGTTTAGAGAACATAAAGACTTTGATTATCTGTCAGAAGTTCCATGATACAGAGATAATTAAAAAAAATATATGAACTTCAGGAAGTTTGTTTGCCAAGTAACTGAATTTTAAACGTTATTTACTGCACAGTATTATCAGAACAAAAAGCTGTCTGCTTTAATATTGTTTGTCCTGAAAAAAAAAGAAATTAGTTTTCAATAAGAAATCACAATATAAAAGAGTGTAAGAGTGGGACGTGAATCCAGGCAGTTTATGTTCACTTTCAAAATCAAATGAGATTTTTCTGTGTTTATATCCACCAGAATAGAATAATTGTTACATGATATTTGATGACAGCTCTGGGAAATGCAGCCTCTAACAGCGGACTAAATGACTAACTAATTCCTTCTGGTTGCTACTTCTGGGGGGTGAAAGGTTACTTCTGCATCTATCCAATTTCTTCTCTTGGGACTCCAAAACCAATAAAATTAGTTTGACTAGTCTTGCACCTATGGCTACAAAAATATCTGACTTAGCATCTGCTAATCTGGAAAACTTGGAGTTGACATCAGACAAAAAGAAATCTTGGCTAACAATTTTTGCTGACGATTGAAAGAGATTAAATTTACAAAGCAAAATGTCTCTGTCATATCAGCCTCTGAGTTATGTTTGAAAAATACACACATAACCACTATATTTAAAGAAATGACTTCATTTTGAGAAGGTATGTCTAGAAGCTATTCAAGTTTCAGTATTCACAGTGTAAGTGTGATAAATTGTCACTGGTAGTCTCAATATATGACAGATACTCCTGTAAAGTCAGTGTTTGTCACCACTTAGCATACACTAGTGTCATGTTTTTTCCATAGGAAACAAAGCAATAGTGGCAATGGTCTGACAACTCTCTGTGAGCTGCTCTGAACACTGACTACTGTCAGCAAGCTAAAAGCAAGCATAGAAACCATTGCATTATTATCTACCAACTGTGTTTTTAAAGTTTGTAACTGATTACTGGTGAATCTGTACAGATCACACTATTAATTGTTCATAAAGTGCTGAGTGGTTTCCAGTTCCACAGTGTTTATTCTATATTTATCTATAGTAATCCTTTTTTAAATAGCTTGAAGCTTGTAATGTAAAAAGACAGCAGCTAGAGAAGTCTAGTTTTAATTTAGTAAATACTAGAGTGGACATATTTCTCAGAACTAGATAGACAAAGTGATAGGAAAAAAAGGATATCAGGGAACTGTGCATTTATAGCCTGTAACATGTAACCTAAGACCTCGATTAACTTTGAGAAACTTCAAATGTCAAGCCTGCTAGCTTCAGACAATCACACCATTAATGCTTTTTTTTTTTTACCATATGTTTTCTTTTGCACTGGAATCAGAGCTAATGTCATTTAGTGATAGGAGTCACAGAACCAGCTGAGCCCTTAGAATATCAATAATGTAATGCATCTGCTATGGGAGGACAATTTACTTCCATATGTTTAAACTTGCACAGTACAAATCAAGAGATAAAAACTAAAAATGACACGATTCTTAGCTTGTCTCAACAGGTCACTTTGACATTCAGGTTTTTTGTGTGTCTTTTGAGTGATCAGCTGATATAAGGAAGCAGAAATATGTGATACATTGATCACTCTTGGTGACAGCCTGAGCATGGACCCTAAAAGTCCTAGGCTTAAAATGTGTTGTGCACATGTTTTTTTTTCATAGTTTTCATCCACGCCTTTTCAAATACGGATCGACCAAGGATCTTACGGTTGGACTTGATCTTAAGGGTATTTTCTGTCCTAAAGGATGCTATGATTCTACATATCTGTAGTAAAGTGGAGTGTCCACGGGTGTTAATTACAAAGCACACACTTGAAGAGAGAAATCAAATCCAGCACAGAAACATTTTGCACTTACCTCCTCCACAGGACTCTGAACACTCTGTAAAGCCCTCGTATTCCCAGTCATAGAGTTCATCAAACTCCTGCAAGCTGCTGTACAGCAGCTCAGTTTCCTCTCGGGTGTATTCGGTTGTCTCCCCGCTACAGGGACCGCTGTAACAGGCTCTCTGAGACACAGGTTTGGGACCTTCACATTCATCGATGGGCAAGTCAGCCACGGACTGAGAGAAAGAGAGGAGCACTTGACATTTCACAAGCCGCACCTGGCTGCCCACTCCACAGGTGACACTACAGGTGGACCAAGACTCAGGAATAAACCTGCGAGAGGAAGAGAGCAAGGCAAGTTATGTCCACAAGCAGCCAGGCAAGCAAAGGCAGTATAGTCATGTTGAGGCCAGACTCTGTTTAATGAGAAACAAATGCTTCACCTCATGATAAGGTTATTATGAAATACATGTAAGAGCCATGACATATCGTTGACAACTTAATGGCAACAGTGGAAAGTCTCTCAAGTACTCATGCAAAATATCTCTTTATATCTAGGAAGAAAAATGCATGCTTAGAGCACCTGCCTTGATCCTAAAATGTCTCAGTGAAAAGCATCCTGTAATTTCCCAACGTGCATCATGGTCCCACTAGCTACTTTTTGCTAGTATCCAACCTAGATCACATTTGTCTTAGTTGATATCACAATTATGTCACTAGTAAGTGTTGAACGGGCTACTGTTATCAGATAGTTGCAGTAGTACGGGGAAAATAATTTCAACCATTGTTCCTGTATTGCAGTAACCACTTTTAAGCCTTAATTTGAAGCCGTAAAAAAGATAAAGAACTCACTATTTCTTTAACTGTTTGTTTGTTTGTTTGTTTGTTCTTTCCTTCCTAGCACATTTAATTTCCCTTCTCGTGAAACAAAAGAGTGTTCCATTTCTATTCTGGATTTTTCTGGCTGTTGCTCGTCTCACTGGTTAGGAATTCTTACATGCTCCAAATTTTTACCTCTGAAAGTCCTTATATACTTCTACAAAAGCACCTTGCAGCCATCATTACAACAAGCAAAACAGATTGATTGGTTTTTATTTTTTTCTTCAACAGTGGAATAATGTCTCAGTTTTTCTGTGTTGCCAATGCTTTTTCAACATCTTAAAAAAAAATCAGTGCTGGAAATAGGCCTAGCATTTTACTGAAAGTAACATCAAGCAGAGGGTCACATTCAGTTCCACGCCACATCATTACCACCTTGTTTAAATGTAGCACACCTCGTTTTGCAGAGCTCATGTTGATCTGTGCTGATTCCTAAATCTTTCTGGAAACAATGGTTCCAGAGTAGTCCACAACCTACAATACTATTGCTTAGATACCTGATGGTGGTGATATTAAAGCACTGCAGTAATGAATTCAGGTTACAGGGTGATTCAGATAGCTTGTCTTCTCTATTGGCCATTCTGCCAAATTTTCTGCCATGGGCAAATTCTAAGACAATTACTTCCAGGGCTGGAACAGAAGAGTAAGTAGTTGGATCTGGCACTGATCCCTTAAGAACCTCAAAGGAACAATACCTATCGATAACGCTCTCTCATTAACAGCAAGTGTTTGGTATATCTCAGCTCCTTCAAACTCAGCAAGTTTACTTTTACTGACATTTCTGAGCATTAATCTAATGAATACAAAGCTTTTTGTATATAGGGTCAACTGCCTGAGACAAATTTAGGTCTTTCAACATCTAATCATATGTGTTAGCCAAATTTATCAAATAAATCAGAGTTAAAGGAAGTATTTTTGATTAAAACATGGCTGTCACTGACAGTATTTCTCTTCTTTTGTCTCTATTTACATGGGCCACACCAGGCTTGGACGGTTTTGCTCAGGGACGAAGACAATAGGCACATCTGTCTCTTCTACGCTCTAGGGCTACTTGCGGCTACGGAAACTCATTTTTCACCTTGAGAATCCCATGAACAGTCTGATAGGAAGAAAAAACTTTAGTTTTGTGATCAGCATCTTTTAAAGCGTTTTTACGTACTTCTGTTCTTCATCCACTGCCTTTCTCTAACGACAAAAAGACTTTCTCTTCACTCTAGGGTTAAAAAAAGAATCCAAACCCACAAAAGGAACCTGGTGCCCCCCAGCAGATATGTATCAGGATCCCTGAGTGGAACAACATAGTCTCCTAGAGCAGAGAGCGTGCAATTGTTTACCCACTTTTGTGTGTGTTTATGACATCTTGTTACGAACTTGATATCCACTGCTAACACCATAGACAGGATAATAGAAAGGAAAGGAATGGATTGTATGCATTATTGGAACATTTGAAACTGTTTATAATGGTGCTACAAAGACTGCAATATTTTCTTTTGGAGTAAAGACTTTGAGAAAATAATGATGCAAAGCGATTCTATTTCCCTACTCTTAAGACATTTTATCTTAAAAGACTTGTCTTGTTTCAAAGATGGTATCTTTAATTTTAAAAGGATTATAGTCTTTAACAGTGCAGGTGGGCCACTCATCTTGTTTTTTCTAAGACTGTACAACTGCTAAAATTCTATCTTGATGTGGAAAACCTCCTGACAGATTAAACAGTCCATGTTAGCCTCTGTGACTTAGATATTTTGATTCATTTGAATGTATAGTTTCTTGAGCTGACAAATTAAGAGACAGAAATCCTAATCAGGTTACTAAAAAAAAGGCACTGGTCTTCATCAGAAGCTGTCTTCTTTATGTTTTTTAACATTGCGAATTGTTGTGTAACTTTGCTTTGTTGAAGAGTTGCTGTATTCCAAACTAAAAAGGATTGTATTTTGCCAGGTATTAAAATTACTTATTTAGAAAAACAGAGATATTTCTTATACTCAGAATATTTACACGTGATGCATATCACACATACAAACACAGGAACAAAAGAGAGAGGACACAAAAGGGAAGTAAGAACATGTAGACTTTTTGAAATGAGGCTTGAACTATAAATGTGAAATATTATATTATTTTACCCTAGTCAGCAACTCGTAATGAAAACACTGGAATACCTTCAGGAAATTATGTTTTATTCAGCTTTCCAGGCCCAATGTCTACATTTTAAGTGATAAATTTGGACGTGTAATTTAATTCTAATGTAACAGTTGGCTGCTAAAGAGCAAATTGGTAGAATTTAAAGAGTTGAAAGCTGATAGAAGAGTGGGGGGGAAACCAAGAAAAATCTGCAAACAAAATATCTGTATAGGACTTGCCATTAGATACTGAATATTTATGTAATGTTAATGTGCAATATAAATAAACAATGATTCTGAATTTTCCATCATCCTAAACCCAGGAAATTACAAAGGCTTTCAAATATCTTTGTGTGGTCATTAATGATAAATGTTGCCAAATGGTGAGCACAAAACACAAAAAATATGTGAATAATGAGCAGGGAATTCCACGATTTTAAAGTTGTTCTGCATATAGTGTACCTTCCACTGCATAGTACTGTGCTTTTCTGTATGCCAACATCTGGGTCTTCTTTGAAAGAACAGATTAGTTGAATAGATTTACTGAGAAGTAGTGGGGTTTTTTTTAGAAAACAGGAAATGATGGAGGTGTTTCAGTTGTCCTTGCATGTTGTTTAGTTGAATCCCACTGTAATAATAGTCCCAATAATAACAAACCTAATAAACACAACAAAGGCAACAGCTAGTTGTAGTGATGTGGCAGTAGTAGCTGTCAGCCAGAACCCAATTGTGCTAATAGTTGTAAAAATGAAAGACAAAAAGGTGCTTCTTGCCTCAAAGACATTACATTATTTCATAGTGCTTAGCATACATCTTAGTGATTCGCATGTTGCCGTTGCTTCAAAGATCACCTTCTTTTATTCCTCTGCAGAACAGACATGACAATGCTTCTTCCCAAAACAAAAATACAGCAGGAGGAGTGTTCTGAGAGCTCTGATAGATATTTTAAATAAGAGTAGTTTGCTCCTATTTTAGAGAGATCACTACTAGGCAGAGAAGTGAAATCTGGAAGGAGGGAAAATCATGACCTTGCTTTGTTATGACTGACTTTACTGTGTCTGCTGCTACTCAACCGCTGGAGCACTGACTAGTTACAGCACCCAGCTGTGAAACGGTTGAAGTGTCCCTCTGCCTGTCACCCCCCATGAAACAGGCATCTCCATGGGCAGCAGTGCTCTCAAGCAGGAAAAGGAAAAGGGCTGGAATGAAAGGTGGAAAACTCTCCAAAGAAAACTGGAGGTTAAAAATGGATGGTGCTTGTACACAAATGCCTATATTTGTTTCCTTGACCTGTGGCCACTTTTGCTGGTGATGGACCTGCAATCTATTCCCATTATACAAGCATGCTTGCAAAACAGTGAGTTCTGGATTCAAAAGACGCATTGTATTTTTCAGTGGTTTTTGTTAGCTGTTGAGGTTTCACAATTTGCACAAGATTGTGTTCAGCTGAAGGTACTATTGTTGCACCATTTGTCATATGTACGTTAGCCTACACTGGGCTGCATAATGTGTTGTAGGAAAGGAGGAGGAGAATAAATGCAATGCCACGGGCATCCATGGACTTCTGCAGGAGTCATTCAGGTGTGGTACTGAGATGATTTTGGCTCTTTGCTTTTATAGTATACTGCAATCACTGAAAATATATTTTAAGGAGATTTTAATATGACAGCAAAGCCAACTTAACGGTGTTTGTGTCTAAAGTGCTTAATACAAAATATTGGTCAAACTGTGAAATGCACAGCGGACAGCCTTTGGGCTGCACATCCAAGGGACTACTGTAACTACAAGTGAATTGCAGTTGTCTGCAGAATCTCATCTATGCATAAACACTGGGTAGGTACCACTTGCCCAGCTCAATTTTGCAAAGACTATTTGAATTTGTAGATATTATTATTCACATTCACACCTGAGAATACCCCTTTCAGACAATAGTGTGTCTAGTGTTTTTTTTTTTTTTTAAATACTTCCTCTTTTTAAATGATATACAGGGAATGTATCTAAAAATCCAGCTTTTGTAGACTAAAGCATGCTACACAATAATTTTCTGTGATAGAACCAGGAACTGAGCTCATACTTCCAGACTCCTTGTCTTTGAAATGCAAATCTGACCCTTTTCTCTAGGAGAGGCCACCTTTCCATCGGTTTTAAGGTGTGGATAACACCACAGGGTGCTCGTACATAGCACTGGGTAGCTGCTGCTTCCATTGTTCAGAGAAGTGAAACAGAGGTCATGACCATATGTCAATAAAATCTCAGGGCTCCATCTACAAGAGTAATGGCACTGGAACCAGCTGCAGAGGTGCAGTTCCAATCTGAGTGATTACAATCTGTCAC